GAACTTTTGAATTTTCCAGTTTTTAAGAAAATTGAAAGCAAATTTAGTAAAATATCTATTACTTGGAATTTTTTCCTTCAATTTCCACAAATATAAATCATATTATTGAATGATTCAAATTTTATTTCACATTTCAAACTAATTAGCAATGATAGCTGCTAGTTCATCAAGTGTGCAGTTTATTGCTTTAGCCAAATATTGTCAGAATTGGCAGCAAAGATGTCTGTCTAATTTGTTGCAAAATTTTTGTTTTGCTTTTTAAACTTCAATATATCTTACCTTTTGTTTCTTACAACAAATGCTTACAGATAAGATTCAATAAATTTCACGATATCTTTTCGAAAATTAAAAACAATGGGACAGATGTTCCAAAAACACTGTACCATTTTTAAAATGAATGTTAACAAACACAGCATTTCCAATCGTTTGATGAATAATCTTTTTTTTTACAGTAAATTCTTAAAATAATATCTTTCATTGTCACATCGAATCATTTGACGATACGAAGCAAATGTTCTTTATAATATTCTGATCGACTCAAAATTCTTAAAAGGACTGAATGTCAATGTGAATTATTCACACTTATCATCTAACAGCTTATCATATTGCATATTCATTCCTTTTGTGTTTAACAAATTTACATCTTTCTTTTTGAAAAATTAATTTACAATGACTAACTTTAAAGTAATTTTCCAAGAAAAAAGGAACTATTTCAAACAACTGGACAAATTCATCTTATGATTGATGATGCTATTTGAATAAATTAGTTAAGATTGAAAGATATAATTGTACGAATGCAATTATGATCAATGTTGCAGCAAGCAAGATTTCATTCTTTATAGCAATTTTCAATTAAACGGTTCATTATGCAAATAAAATGCACTTTTTAATGCATGATTATGACGAATGTCGGGAAAATCGAAGTTTAGTGATGTAAACTTTCGTTCATAAATAGAGATTTGTATAATTGACATTCAGATAAGAGGAAATTTAGCTGTATAATTAATTTATAGTCGTACTTAATTTCTGCTACATAACACTCTCTTGTCCTATAGTGTCAGGCTGTCTGCCGACATTTCCCTCGTTCTTTATGATCTTCTCTCTCTCTTTCTTTCACACGTAATAAAAAATTTTGGCTTCATGCTATGATATTGTCAAACCGTGATATTATCGATTGTATATCCATCATTTATTGATCACCCCAATGAGGGATATCCGTCTATTTTGTATGTCTCATATACATGTTGATCAGTAGGAGCGGATGACATCGAGGTGTGTTCCTCCCGAGAGGTAGCGGTAGGTGATACGGTCTCAAATTGGTATTACATTTGCTTACTTTACAGCAAACTAATAAACACTTCGATTCTAATTGTCACGATACAATAATTATCAGCTCTCTCCACACGACAAAAATTTTTGC